AAGAAAATATTAAGTATTCTATGAAAGCAAACTGGTAGTAGCAGTGTTACAAAGCTATAGTCTTCTTTAACCAATACAGCTATGCAACAAGGTCACCCAGTACAGTGATTGACTTTTGCAAATATACATGGGGTGGAAGTGTAGTTGTTCACTTAACTACACAGCAAAAAGCAAATGGTTTGAGATAGTAATAGTATATAGAATAACTTTATTTTATACAAAAACACAGTGATAACCTTGCCTGTAAGAATTACACTAAAGGGAGAATCTCAACTTTACAAGATAAAAAGAGTATAAAGAGAATAGAGTTTAAGATAAAGTGTAGAAACTTAAGAGTTGGCAGGAGAAGTTGGGAATTGTACTAGAGGAAGTTGGGAGATTGTGTTAGAGGAAGTTAGAGAAATATAAACATTACTCATTTTGTTTATATTTATTTGTTATTTGTGAAGAAAATTTGGAGAAGAGAAACTTGGAAGATTTTGTATCCAAACACTTAGACTTTGTATAGAGGAATTTGGAAGATTTCATATAGAAGAATTTGGAAGAATTGTGTTACTTTCTTGTATTATCTTTTTGTATAACCTAAAGTACTTTTGTGTAACCTTGTATTACCTCAGGTCATGTGAGTCATATGACTGCACTACAGTTTCAATAGTTAATCAAAATGTTTTTATATAATTGCTATATAATATACTATCTAAATATATATAAAACTAATATATAATAATATAATAAATCTAACTAATATTTTAACTATATGAAAATACAGATATATAAAATAATAATAACTAAAAATAACTAAAAAAATATTAATAAAAACTATTTTAAAAATCTACTTTGTAACAGCAGCAAGTTTCTGATTTGAAATATAGATTAGAAGTATTAGTTAAAATAAATAAATAAGATTATCAGATTCTAGGAATCAATACTTTATTAGAAGAGAAATTAGCAATAGTAGTAGAATATCTAGTTTAAAATATATATATATAAGATTATTTATAAACAAACTAATTTAGAAGATCTTTAGAAACTAATTATTTAATTAAACCAAATTGTGAGTTATTAGGATTAGATTGTAAAATATAGTTGGGATAATCAAAAGTAATTAATAGTAAAGTACAAAAACTAAATAAAGATATGAAATATTCTAACAGATTTAAATTATAAATACAAGTTATTCAAGTCTTATATTCAGAATAGTAGGTATATGAGTAAACTACTAGATTATATAGTAGTATACAAATTTAAAAATTAATAAAAATACAAAGATATGAATTTACCTTAATATTAAAAAAATATAATATAAAAATTTTAAATTTGCTTAATATACTTGTTTATATTTTTTAAAAAATGTTAATTTTTTTTAATATTAAAGTTACCTCTTAGCTATTTTTTTTTTTTGATGTTAAAGTGATCTCTTTGTTATGTTTCTTTTATTCAATTATAATTATAATTTTTACAGTATGATTATTATACCATATATATATTTGGAGAGTATAACTAGCTACATGTATAATTTTTGGTTTTTATATACTTGTATATTTTACTATCTTTTTTGTATTTTTTTATATTATTTGTTAGAAACTTATTTAAACAACCTTATATTATCTTCTATAATATTATTAAGAAATACTTCTATAGTATATATTTTATCTTACCCTTAAATTGTAACACAGGCAAATTTGCCTGCATTCATTTTTTTAAACTCTAATTTTTTAATAAAATAAATATTAATTTTAGTAATATACTTTTTAAGCAAAATATATTTTTAAGGATCTACTTTATTAACTTTGTTAAGAAAATTTTTTAAAATTATTACAAAATGATGAAAATGCAACTTTTATTTCTATAAAAAATAATAAAATTTTTACAAAATAATAGATGCGCAAATTTTGTCTATTCTAAAAGTCAAAAAAAAATATCGAAGAAATCAGAAATTAGTGATTACTTTTTTTTCACATAATTTTGCAAACCGCAATAAATGAAGATTAAAAGGTTTTTGAGATATTAGTTTGGGGTTGAGTTTGGGGTTTGGGCGTAGACAAATCCAAACTATAATATATAGTTTGGATTTGGAAGGAAAATATGCCTATAACCCGCATTCCGGAAAGGCCTATAGAAAACACTCTTCGCGCCATCAGGCATTCAAATTATTCCGGCCTTAGTATTAACGCTTACTAATTAAATTATAAGATCAAGTATAATAACTTGATTATTAAGCATTAAGATTGAATCTGAAATTGCGTGAAGTGTGAATAGTGTTTTCTATAGTGCGAATAGCAGTGCCCAAATTAGAATGCATTTTAGAAATTTGGACATCCTAAAGTGAGCTCAATTTTTAGGATAGTTCGAAAACCAGTTTTAGTAAAGAATTGTAAACCCTAGCTAGTGTTACAAATCGAAAGTTAAAAAAATCGATTAGTTGGTTGGTTGACAACTAATCTATTGAACTTTTAGATACCAACTAATCGATTAACCGACTAATCGATTAGTTGCAACTAATCGACTAAAGAATTAATCGGTTGTTGCAAATGAATCGATTGAAAAATTATTTATTTATTATAATGAATTAGTTGCAACTAGCAATTGTCGATTAATCGATTAGTTGCAACCAACTGGAAAAATAATTAACCCTAGCCCGCTATGATTATTCAAACCGTTTCCATCCGGTTCACCCGATTAATGCATAATGGTATTCAACCGCCGGTGATTCTCAACGTTTAAAAAAAAAAAAAGAGAGCAATCACCAAATTACAGTGCTTTTTTAAACTTTAACGTTAAGAGATGTTTAGAATTCTGTATCACTTGATCACATGATACTGAAATACACGTGTAAGTTTCCTATATTACTCGCATTAGATTGGAATTTATCTATAATCTAAACCAGATGACTTTCATAGATGATCGTAATTTTATTTGCTTTCTGAGGCAAAGGATTGTTTCAAAGTATGTCTTTTAAATTTAGCTGGCCAGAATTCACCACAGAATTCGTGGAGCAAGCTAAACAACTTTTAACGACAGCTCTTAACAAAAGCAGTAAGCCAGTGAATATAGTGGATCCTATAGTCGTCAAAGACTTGAACATGGGAACAAAGGTAACAAGTCATTCAATACTGAAGTAAGGAGCCTACATAGAATATTCGCATATTTTTAAAGAACACGAATCTGATAATATCTACCTTTTTAACTCATTTATATCCCAGCCGCCTGAGTTGGAGATTATGGAAATTTGTGAATTAGCAGTTGATAAATTTAGAGGAATATTTAAATTGATATACAGTGGTGACGCACATTTAACTTTACAAACAAAAGTGCAGGTATAAAGTCTGCAGAATAGTATTTATTTATTTATTTTATTTGATTTT